TTGGGAAAATACATATTGGCATGCCCATATTTATCTACATGGGGCCCACATGCTAAAGACCTGGGTAGTTGAACATGGGTATGCCCATATTAATTTCGCATTAGGCCCATGTGCCAAATATCTGGGAAAATACTTATAGGCATGCCCACATATAATATACATGGGACCCATATGTCAATTACCTGGGCAAGTAAATATGGGAGGCCCATATTTAATCTAAATGGAGCCCATGTGCCAAATATGTGGGCAGTTACATATGGGCATGCCCATATTTAATTTGCATTGGACACATATGCCAAATAGCTGGGCATATAATTATGGGAATGCCCACATTTAATCCACATGGGTTCAATGTGTCAAATATCTGGGAAAATACATATTGGCATGCCCATGTTCAGTCTCCATGGGCACCACATGCCAAATAACTGGGCAGATAATTATGGGAATTCCCACATTAATCTACACGGAGCCCATGTGCCAAATATCTGGGAAAATAAATATGGACATGCTCTTGTTCAATCTACACGGGCCCAATATGCCGAATAACTGGGCGGATAATTATGGAAATAATACCCGCATTTAATCCACATGGGGCCCATGTGTTAATAGCTGGGGAAATACATGGGCTTAAGCTAGTGTTTAATTTACACATTTACATATGCCAAATAACAGGGAAGATAACTTTGGGAATGGCCACATTTAATCTACATGTGACCCATAAAATTAATATAAACATGTCCATGTGCAATCTACATGGGTCCAATATGCCAAATTCCCATAGGGCCTAATGTGTCAAATGTATAGGAAATAATATTTGTGCCTGTGTTTACTCTGCATATATAGCCCCATATGCCAAGTTACTGGGCAGATACCTGTAGGAATATGTTAGCCACATGGGGCCCATGTACCAAATATCTGGGAAAATGCATGGCCATTCTTATGTTCATTCTACATGAACCCCACATGCTACATACCTGGGCAGATAATTATGCCCTGGATTCCCCTCTGACCCACTGTTAATTAATATACTTTATTTTTAAGACGTTATACATAGCAACAGTTATGACATGAATGCTCCATTGCGGTACTTTTTATTTAATAAGTGTGTGCGCATGCTCAGTAGAAATACCAGTTTGAATGAAGCTAGCGATGATCGGAGCATCGGACTTAAGCCAATGAACTATCTGTCTTTGGCAGTTCCGGTGTCCCGTTTCAAGTTTTGAATTCACAAACGAAGCGCCCATTCTAGTGCCGTCGTCTTGTAGCGAGTGTAAAGGAAGGAAGATTTTATAGGCCTAAGCAAATTTGACAAGTCACAGTGAAGTACAAAGTAAGTAATTTATACTTGTGTAGCCTAGGCCTAAGTTGTTGAATTCCCTAACTATACTACTGTACTGTGCTAGGCCTAATTCGCGGCCAAATCCATTGCATTCCCTGGGCCTAGGCCTAGATACGTAGAATACAGATCATTTCGGCCTAGGCCTTCTTGTTTAAGCGTATGCTGGCCTAGTTTCTTGAACTAGCGTTGGATCGCCAGTTAACTCTCTGGCTAGGGGCATAAGCCAAGGCACATCCTACGTTTTTTGTCTTATTATATTTTTCGCCGGTGTATACTATAGGCTAGGCCCTGTCTACCTAGCCTAACTAATGTCATTGTGTATGGCTAGGCCTAGCCTAGCTAGACTTTGTGATGGAAGTTTAGTATAGGGGACCTGGCTGGCAAGCCCTTCCCACCCCCAAGCGGCAGCCTAGGGGGCCTAGGCTGTCCATATATGAGTCCACATATACACCAGAACAGAACATAATGTCATTGTCAAAATATTGAATTCTGTTTCTCAAGCATAAAATACTACACTTTATTTAATGGAAGTGGATATATTTTCGTCGTCGTAAACAAATCAGTAAATGATATATTTACATAATACAGTATCACTTATTTGAAAATTTAACACTTGATTTAATAATTTATTTAGTGATTAAACTACATACTGTGCTATTGTAGAAAATTAAATTACGTTTAATAAAAA